GGTGTCGTGGATTAATTAGTTCTAATTCTATTCTAGCTGTTAAATGTTAAGTAGGGTTGTCTTTTTTCATATAAATACCTTCTGTAGCAGCACAATATTTGCATTGATTCATATGCTAAAATGGTGAAAGAATTCTTGATGCTTTTCATGGCTAAGTTACTGCTTTTCCTATTTTGGTTTAAGGTTGCTTGTTTTCATGGTATCAGAGCAGGTTATTAACCTGGATCTGGTCATCTCAACCTTTAATTTTTTTTCTTGCTTCGAAAATTTCAAATGGCAGACCAAAGCCATATCAGTTCTGGATCAAACCAAGGAGGTCAACATGGAACCAACACTTCAATTTCATCTCTTGTTTTTCCACAGTCTCAGCTCATTTCCACTAAACTTCATGAGAGCAATTTTTTAATATGGAAGCAGCAAGTCTTGACAACCATAAGAGGATATGGCCTTGAGAAGTTTATCAATGGAGAAGGTGCACCTCCACCAGAGAATCGTCAAGATCCAGATTCTTATCAACTCATGGCCAACCCAGATTATCCCTTATGGCAAAGGCAAGATCAGCTTCTTGCTTCTTGGCTACTCTCTTCCCTCAGTGATGGAGTTCTCATCCAAACCGTTGGTCTTGACTCTGCAAGACAGATCTGGAAAACCCTTGAAGCTAACTTTGCAAGCCAAACAACAGCTAAGCATATGCAATACAAGATGCAGCTGCAGAACTTGAAGAAGAACAGCCTCACCATGACACAATACTTAAACCAGATGAAGGTATGTTTTGATTATCTGGCCTCAGTAGGACATGTTGTGATGGAGAGAGACAAGATAGTGCATATTCTGAGTGGTCTTGGGAATGACTATGATGATGTTATGGTCACAGTCACATCTAGGATTGAACCATATACGGTGGCTGAAATGCAAGCTTTACTCTTGAGTTATGAGTCTAGGCTGGAAACACACTCTCAGTCAGTGCCCAATGCTCACCTTGAGGGTACTCAACCTACTGCCAACACCAAAACTCACTTCAGTCAAAGAAAGGGCTCTCAAAATGAGAGTACCAGAGGTGGTTTTAGAGGATCTTTTTCTAATAGAGGTGGAAGAAACAATGGCAGAGGCTAAAGAGGAAGGGGTGGCAGATTTCAGAGTGGAAGCAGACCAATTTGCCAAGTGTGTAAGGTTGCAGGACACACAGCTGACAGATGCTGGCATAGGTTTGACCAAAACTGCACCCCTCAGCAACAAAACAAAAATGCTCCTATGAACAAAAACCACACTCTAAACTTGACTCACTATGTTGGTTCTGACTTTGGAGGAGAGAGTGTGTGGTACCCAGACTCAGGAGCATTTGTTCATGTTACAAATGAACTTGGAAATCTCAGCATAGCCTCTGAGTATGATGGTCAAAGTCAACTTCAAGTAGGAAATGGCAATGGTGTGTCAATCAGCCACATTGGTAATGCTTTCCTTAAATATCCAGATGCACTAAAGGCATTTGTTCTTAAAGAACTTTTACATGTCCTTGCATTACCAAGAACCTTATCAGTGTGTCTAAGTTTGCCATGACAATGATGTATATTTTGAATTCCACCCTACCTTTTGTCTTGTCAAGGATCAAGCAACTCAAGCAATACTCCTCAAAGGGAAGGTTAAAGATGGGTTGTACCAGTTTAATTTCCAACCAGTGAAGAAACCTCAAGCTTTCCCTCAAGCATCTACTTTTAATTATGCTTTTCCTTCAGTTAATCATGTTTCTGTTAACAAAGTACCTAGTTTGAGCTTTGGCATCAAAGGCTAGGACATTCTAGTATGGATATTGTTAAAAGAGCTCTTGAACAATGTAACTGCTCATATGTTTCTGATGATGATTTGGGATTATGTATTTCATTTTCAGTTTCTAAAAGTCATAGACTTCCTTTTGGCTCTTCTACTACTGTTTTTGATTCTCCTCTTGATCTTATACATACTGACTTGTGGGGACCAGCACCAATTAAGTCATCAAATGGTTACTCATATTATATGATCTTTGTGGATCATTTCAGTAGATATAGCTGGTTATATCTTCTCAAAAACAAAATTGAGGTACATGATGCTTTTGTTCATTTCAAAAACTTGACTGAGAACCAATTTAATACAAAGATCAAGAGAGTTCAATCTGATGGAGGAACTGAATTCAAAACTCTAGCCAAAGTGTTTTAAGAGAATGGAATAGAACATAGAATTTCATGTCCTTACACCCCTCAGCAAAATGGTGTTGCTGAGAGGAAGAACAGACACCTAATAGAGATGGGACTAGCATTACTCTATCACTCTAAACTTCTTGCAAGATTCTAGGATGATGCTGCCACCACTGCAAGCTTCATTATAAATAGAGTACCTTCAAAAGGTCTCTCTTATACTTCACCTTTTGAGACTTTGTAAAAATAAGAAGCCTGGTTATTCTTTAATCAAGGTGTTTGGTTGTCTATGCTTCCCTCACACAAGGCCTCTCAACAAACACAAATTGGATTTCAGGTCTGGTCCTAGTATATTCTTGGGATACAGTCCATATTACAAGGGTTTCAAAGTGATGCTACCTTCAAGATAGGTGATTGTCACAAGAAATGTGGTTTTTTATGAACATGTCTTTCCCTATGAAGACAAAACTCAAGAAAACCACTAGCATGGCTCATCCTTTCATCCTATAAGGTTACCTGTCTTAGAACAATTCTTTAAGGTAAACACTGAGACAGTGAATGCATAAAGAGATTCTCAAGGGACAAGTCAATCAGACAAAAATGACACTAGTCCTCTGAGAGACCAATCTGTGCAGGAAGATCAAAGCTCTTCTAGCAAGTGCATGAGCAATGCTACTATACCTCTTTTGGTACAACTACCACCAATTAAGAATGATCAAGAGACTGAAGAGCAGCTCAATCAAAGGAATCAGCATCCCATGGTAACTAGATCAAAACATGGTATCTTTAAACCCAAAGTTTTTCAATCTAATGTTATTGAAAGAGAGCCCCTTTTCAGCAACTGAGGCTATGAAAGATGATAGATGGAAAAAGGCAATGCAGGATGAATACAATGCCTTAATGAAGAATGGGACTTGGACCTTAACTGCTCTACCTGAAGAAAAGATCTTGGTTGGAAACAAATGGGTGTTCAAAATCCAAAGGAACTCAGATGGGAGTGTCTCCAGGTACAAATCTAGGCTTGTTGCACAGGGCTTCTCTCAATTACCTGGCTTTGACTTTACAGATACTTATAGCCCAGTGGTGAAGCCTACAACTATAAGGATCATAATGGCAATATCAACCTCAAATTCTTGGCATGTTATGCACCTGGATATTGATAATGCCTTTTTGAATGGGACTCTAGAGGAAGAAATATACATGAGACAGCCATTTGGTTTGAAAAAGGACAGGATGATCAAGTATACAAACTAAGAAAGGCTTTTTATGGCCTTAAGCAAGCATCAAGGATTTGGTTTGCTAAAATAAAGTATGTTCTATTGAAGATGAGGTTTGTAAATTCCAAGACAGACACTTCCCTATTTATTTTGGTGAGAAATCAAAGGAAGGTGTATTTCTTAATCTATGTTGATGACATTCTCATTACTGGAAACTGTGAGGTGTCCTTGAAAGAAGTAACAGAAAGTCTAAAAGGGAATTTTTCTTTGAAAGACCTTGGAAGAGTTCAACACTTCTTAGGCATTGAAGTGAAGGAAACTTCACAGGGGCTGCATATGAATCAATCTCAATACATAAAGTATATTCTGCAGAGGGTAAATATGACAGGTGTTAAGGCTGTCCAAGTCCTATGGTGTCTTCTCTACATTTATCTAAGTTTGAGGGAGATGCAGGCACTGATGGCACTCTCTATAGAAGCATAGTTGGAGCATTGCATTATGTTACAATAACAAGACCTGAGATAAGTTTTGCAGTCAACAAGGTGAGCCAATTCATGTTAAATCCATTGACAACTCATTGGAAGGCTGTCAAGAGAATCCTTAGATATCTGGCAGGGACTTTGGATTATGGTCTTCATATGACCAAATCAGCTCACTTGAACATCACAAGGTTCTCTGACTCAGACTGGACAGGTGATCAAGATGATAGAAAATCAATGACAAACTCTTGTGTCTTTCTTGGACAGAACTTGATTTCTTGGGCAGCAAAGAAGCAAAAGTCTATCTCAAGATCCAGTACAGAGTCTGAGTACAGGAGTTTAGCTCATAATGTTGCTGAAATTACATAGATTCAGGCTCTTCTTAAGGAATTAAAGGTTGAGCAGTTCAAAACTCCAACAGTGTGGGTAGATAATTTGAGTACTATCCATTTGGCCACCAAATATGGTCTTACATTCAAGAATCAAACACATAGAACTTGATTTGCATTTTGTGAGGGAAAAAGTAGATGCTAAGATGATCTCAGTTAACCACATTTCGTCATATGATCAAATTGCAGATATTATGACAAAGCCTCTTTGGCAGCAACTCTTCACTTGACTTAGATAAATGTTGGTTCTTTAGCCTCGCTCGATTCGAGGGGGAGTGTTTAACTTATTGGACCCTTTACAACCGGTCAATGCCATGTAGATCAGCTTCATAGCAAGCAAAAGGTTATTGTGGCCCCATGCACGAAGAGAGAGAAAGCCATACAGGTTCATTGTGGTCCCAAATCCCTTCATACAGAATCTGACACGTGGAGACAAAAGAGCCATAGATTAATTAGTTCTAATTCTATTCTAGCCGTTAGATGTTAAGTAGGGTTGTCTTGTTGCATATAAATACCTTCTGTAGCAGCACAGTATTTGCATTGATCCATATGCTAAAACGGTGAAAGAATTCTTGATGCTTTTCATGGCTAAGTTAATGCTTTTCCTATTTTGGTTTAAGGTTGCTTGTTTTCACGCTCTCTCTCGCTTCGCTATCTCTCTCCCTCATCTTCTCTGGTTTAGAAAAAAAAAAGAAAGGAGAAACAACAACTTCATCATCCCCGCACGATCATCATCACTCACGATCGTCACTGCCGCGAGACCACCAGCAAGACCTCTCTCGCGACCCGCTGTTCGTGGGATACCGATCGCACGCCATCGTCGATCAACATCCGAGCATACCAGCGAGTACCAGCCCCCGCCAACTTATCGCGAGCAGGCCCGTCGACCGCCTTGTGCGCGTCCATCACTGTTCGCTTCCCGGAGCAGCATCCCGTGACGTACAGACGACCGTGAGTCTATTCATTGTCGGGAGCCCCGCACATCCCGTTCAACGAAGCCTTGCTGCCATCCGTCATCGCCAAGAGCTTTCAGGCCACCTGCAGGCCCCGTCGGACATCCTCTATTGTCGCAAGCCTTCTCGCTGTTCGCGAGCCCCGGCAAGTTCTAGGACCTGTTCGTCGTACCGTCTATTTTCGCAACCGCATCACACTCCCGTTCATTGCTTGCTGTTCACGAGTTGTCACCACGATCATCGTTGCCCCGCGCTGTTGTTTCAGTCCCCGAACTCGTTGTCTAGACCCCCAGCACCACGGGCGAGCCAAAGCGTAGTTCTCGAGCCTTCGTGCGGCCCGTTTCAGCCCCGTTTCGACCCTTTCTTGTGACCTCGTCCCGAGAACGATACCCAGGATAATAATCCCTCTCGATTTTAATGTGTTTATATATGCTCTTTGTTGCCTGGGTAAATTGCGTGTCGAGTGTTTATATATAATACGTGTTTATATAGTAATCGTGTTGATTATGTGAAATCATGCGGAACTTGTTAATTTCGTATTAGGACTGTGGAAAATGGAACCTTGTCGAGTCCTTGGCCTCATGGCGAAGGCCTTGGACGAATTGGTCGAGTGTTGAGTCGTTTATGATTTTTCGAAATATGGCTAGCTGCTGAATATTTATTAAATTCATCATAAATTTCATGCTGCTCAGAATGATGTGAAACTTTGTGTGTGATATCCTCTGATGATTATGCATGTCGTGTAAAAACTTCATGATTTAATTCCAATTGTAGCTATTTTAATATTTATTTTGATTTCTGGGCAAAATCGTGTAAATTGCATAATAAATCAAGTCGTATTCCAATTTGGCTGAAATTTGAATACTATGTTTATGTGTTATATTTGGATGTCATGTAAAAATTTCATAAGTTTTGGACTTCGTTTGCTAGGGTAATTAATTGTTTGTGTTATTCTGCTGAAACTCATTTTATTTATGAAAATTCGACCTGTTGCTGTAAATTGCTGAAAATTGGTGTGCATACTCTTTTAATGTTATATTACTGGGCAAAAATTTTCATAATTTAATTTGTTCAATACGATAGGTTTTTAATTGAAATGAGTTTTCTGCTGAGTATTGCAAGAATTTCTATAAATTGTGTGTTTGATGTTTAGAGCTGAAAATTTTATATGTTGATCCTCACATGTTTTAGTTTTCTGTGTAAAAGTTTCAAGTCTTAAATCATTCATTAGGTCAGGCTATACGAAGCATGTAATTTTGCCACATAGGATTCTGAAGCACCAGAAGCAGCCACGTAGGCTTAGCGCGTTCTGTATTAATATATAAATGCCCATTTTTGCTGAAAACTTGTTTTAATTTTATAAAATCGAGTGTATTGAGTTAAGGGCTTGAACTTGGTGATATTGCTATGTTCACTTAGATGATTTTGTGTTAAAATTATAGAGCTTAATTTATTCGCTAGCCTGACCATCTTGAATTCATGTGTTTTCCCACGTTGGTTTCGCATCGAGCTTTAGTGCTAGTTCCAAGTGTTCCAATGTCCACAGAACACCACGAACAACTTAGTTGAATCAAGTTCGACTAAGTATGATTTATGTTCTTCTTATTTAGTCAAGATAGGTTATTGATTGTAGTATCTTGACTTATTGTAGGTGCTTGACGAGCTGAGCTCGCCGCCTACCCAATAGTGTTTATGCTTATCTCTTGCTCTTCCAGGTGGGTTTTATTTGAAATTTCCTATGTTGTAAATGTTATAAATGTTTTTATTTGTGGTATGATCAAAGTATGCATGTGGATCATGTAGCCTTCGATGTGAGCTGTACTGGCAGTCGAATGGTTATTCCCATGGCTATAGAACGTACCCGATGTGTAGTCTCCTTTATTATTCTATGGCAGTCAGGGCCTGAGCCTTGGCTGGTGATCCTCGTCTGTAAGACCAAGGCATAGGTCTTGGATCTCGGGGTGGATTTTACTCCTGCTGGTTGGGCATCGTTTATAAGACCCAAGGGGCATTTTATACGTGTATCAGCAACAGTCTATTGATATAGGTGTGCACATGAGGGTTGACTCTGGGATAGGAGATGGGATATTATAAATTGATTTGTGTTCATACTGCGACCATACATGCTTTATATTATGATTACTGTTCTTTATTGATTAATGTTTACTGCATAGTGGTGAGCACCACGGTTTCCATTTGTGCTCACCCCCACCTGCTCTTCATGGCAGGGCCGTCTACAGAAATTTGGAGGCCCCAGGCAATATTTTCAAGAGAGGCCCGTAATTGTATTTTTATATTTTTTTAATTAAACAAATAATAATAAACATCGTCAATAATAAATACGAAAAAAAAACCATGAATATGAGAAAAATAAGTCAATTAGAATTCAAAAACTTACAACCTTCTCGCTTTCTTTTGTACAAAATTATCAATCAAGTCACCATAATCAAGTTTTGCAACCATTTTTTATTAAATGGATAACATCGCCAAACCATTCAATCTATCCTGAGACATAGTTGACCGAAGATAATTTTTGATCAACTTCAGCTTGGAAAAACTTCTTTCAGCAGATGCAACAGTAACCGGGATGGTCAACAATATTCTGTAAGCTACCCAGGCATTAGGAAAACCATAATACAAATTTTTGATATACTCCAAGACTTCAACTGGTTTATTTAATCCTTCCGGTAATGCTTTTCTCAGTAATTGCAACTCCGAGAATAGTTCGAGTGCATCAATATCAGAATTATCTTCATGTTTCAAAAAGTCCTCAAGTTCAACACATGAATGCATCAAACTTTCATCATCCATGATTTTCAACTTGGTCAAGTTGAATAGAAATCCAAAAATCTCTTCATACTTTTGAAACTGCACAAACCTTAGTTGGAGAGAAGAAAGAGCATTATCGACAATTTGAAGAAAATAATTTACTCGCAAATATTCTTCGGCCCCTTGAATTGGTTCATCGCGAGCATTTTCATCAAAAAATTTACTTTTGCGACGAATTCGAATTTCACGAAAGGCGGGTTCCACATCCATCTCCAATGCAATCTTTTGAGCTTCAAGTTTTGCACTTTCAAAACCGCAATTTCTGTATTCCTCCAAAAAAACAATCAAGCCTTGTAAGAGACTTATACTCTCACCAATGACCATATCATTTTTTTGGAAAGCTTTGCTAACTGAATTCACTTTTTGCAAGATTTCAAACCAGATTACTACTCCCACAAGAAAATCAAAACTTTGAAGTTCATACTCCGCCAAAGATCTAGCATCACTAGCCGTTGTTGCATCACCATTGTGTTCCACTAGATGCAATAATGCATCTCTAATTTGAGGTGCTTGGAATCTTATAGCCTTGACGCTATCAACAAGACTCTCCCAGCGTGTATCCGACCATGACTTCAAAGTAAGCCCTCTTTCTTTACGACCCTTTACAAAGGATTTTAAAACATCCCACCTCTTTGTTGAAGTAGAGAACAACTTATAAATTCGTTGTATCACTCCAAAAAATGACTTTGCCTGAACTGAGCTCATCGCCATATCACAAAGAGTCAGATTAAGAGAATGACAGCCACATGGAGTGTAAAATGCTCGAGGATACTCATTTAGCACTCTACTACTTACTCCTTTGTATTGCCCATTCATGTTTGAACCATTATCATAGCCTTGCCCTCTCAAGTCACTTAAATCTAATTTCCATATACTCAAAATAGATTTAAGCTCATTAAAGAGGGCATCTCCTGTTGTTTCAACAACATTTATAAATTGAATAAAAAACTCCTCAACTGCAATTGGAGTCTTTGAGACATCAACCCATCTCAATATGAGAGACATTTGCTCATCATGGCTTACATCTGGAGTACAATCAAGAATCACAGAAAATTATTTTGCCCCTTTAACAATCTCAAGAATCTTTTTCTTTATCTCACCCACCAACAAAAGTATCAATTCATTTTGAATATTATGGCCAAGATAATGGACACGTTTAGTCTCTTTTTTCCTAATACGCCTTAGGTGCTCTTCCATGATCGGATCAAAATCAGCAATCATTTTAATAATGCTTAGAAAATTTCCACTATTATGATCATCAAGTTTTTCGTTTTGCCCACGAAACGACAAATTACAACTAGCAAGAGTTTTGACAACACAAATGATTCTCTTCAAGACATCTCTCCAAAATCCCTCTCTCTCTCAACGACTCTCTGATTTTCAGAGTCAATTGTCTGTTTTCTTTTCAATCTTTTTTCAGCCTCTGTCCAATCTGCTAAACAATTCATATGATGAACGCTTCTTTCATGCTCACTAAGTCTCTGATAAATATTTTTCCAATCATCATAACCAATTGTTCCTGTTGTCAAGGGACTTGATATAATTTTATCCCTCCTGAACAGAACACAACAAAAGCAAAATACTTTATCCTTCTTCTGAGAGTAAACTAACCATGATCTATCAAGTTTTTCTCCATTCGATAAAGATCGAGTGTAGAGTTTATCATTGAAACTTCTACCTTTGTCATTAATTGGATACACGAAATTAGTAACTCTAACTGGCCCTTTCTCGACCAAAAAATCAATCTTTCTTTGAGGCAAATTATCCTCCCAATTTCCTGGATTGAACAAATCTTCCAAATTTTGACAATTCATATCATGGTTATCATTCATTTCCTCTTTATCATTCGCATTCTCTAACTCATCTTTTTCTTCTTCAAATTTCCCATCCCCCCCATCATTATCATCTGAATCAATTCGATTTCGATATGTTAAATCTCGATCAATTTCAACTACAGGTGTATCAATTAATTCCGGCACAGTTTCAGTAGGACCAAGCACTTCAACCTCTACTAGAGGAGTTGTAGGTTTTACGTACCTATCCATTGAACCGGCAAGAGATTTTGTTAATATTTCTTGCTTTTCTTTCTTTTTCCTTTTCGAACTTCCCGACTCGAATTTGCGTTTGCCCGTCATAACTCGTCTAGCAAATCTGATCATAGAATGATAGGATAATATATGAATAAATTTATTTACAATACTAATTAATAAAAAATACAGTCAAATACCAATAAAAAGAAAACATGGTTTGGACAACTAATAACTTTATTTACAATACTAACAGTCTAACAAATCTGATCATCATTTGATTCAATAGAAAGAAGTAAACTACATATATCAATATAACAACACATAAAACGAAAAAAAAAAAGATTAACTTATATCGGTCAATTTGAACTAATTTAACCTGCTTGAAAAATCAAAACCTAAGCCAATTTCTTCTTCCAATTATAACAATTTATTACGCTAAAAACCTATGGTCTAAAACTCATAAAATCTTACAAAACAAAGCAGCTACATAAGTTCCTTTCCATCTTATTTTTATTTTGTAAAATTCAACCCAGTTTCACCAATTAAAAAGTAAAAACACCCATCTCATTTTTATTGATTTTAGTCCACTTAATCACCTTGATATACGAATGATTATATTCAACATTGTTATTTTATTCACTTGAATTTCTTCCCCAATTTAATCATGCGCTAAAAAAAAAATTAAAACATGAACTGAACCATAAACCAGAGAGACAAAAATATTTACATAATAGAAGAAGTTCCTACCGTATTGATTGAGAAGCCTAACAGATGCGGCAACACGTGAGGCGGTTTAACGAGGGCAGACGAATTTGGCTGTCGATTAACTAAACTCCACGGTAGAATTTGAAAATTGAGGTTTTTTTTATGCGTGAAATTGAGGTTTTACTTTCTAAAATGCAATTGCAAAGTCGGCAGACCACGTTCAAATAGATTACAACTTTTGATTTTTATGAAAACGAATTGGGCCAAAGCCCAAAACATATACATATATTCAAGGATTCATATATTTAGGAGGCCCCAAAAAATATGAGGCCCTAGGCTGAAGCCTAGTCTGGCTGGCCAAAGAGCCGCCCCTGCTTCATGGATGCAGGTTAGTAAGTGCGGGCACGGCGGAGGGATGCGAGTGGTAGTTGGTCATTGAGACCAACTTATTATTGATGTGCTTCCGCATTATTGAACTGATTTATGTCATTTATGCTTTTATGAATTATTGAGGATTGGATTATTGATAAGGAGTGTACTCCTTAGATACTATGAATTTGAGGAACCCAGTTTGGGTATTGGATTGCATTATTGATGATGAATTTATGACTATTGATGTATGTTTTGAAAATGAGTAACACCACAAGTGATTTTGAAAATAAATTTGAAAAAAAAAATTATTACTCATTTTCATCAAAAAAAAAGTGGGGCGTTACAGGCGCCTTCAATGCCTCTGGATCGGGAGTGAAGCAACAAAATGTGGTACACGATTAAGGTCCATTATTTCTCCATGGTTCCGATCACGATGGTATGATGTTAGTATAAAACCAGTTGAATGGAAGTAATTTTTTGACTTGGAGAAGATCAATGATTATCGCACTTGGAGAAAAACAAAACTAGGCTTTATACATGAGAAATTACTGACCGAATCTAGACGATGATAATTACGAGGCTTGGAAAAAGGTGGATTAGATGATTTTGGCATGGATTTTAAATTCTCTGTCCAAGGATACCGCCGAGTCGTTTATACATGCTAAAACTTCTAAAGATCTTTGAGATGGTATTTGTAACGCCCCAATGATTTTTAAAAAAAATTCTAGACTTCTCCAAAAATCAAGGTTAAATTTTTTAAAATTATTTTTTCATTTTAAAAACATAATGGCATTACTCACATCATCATCATATACAACTCAAGTCATATTATAGAATACGGGAACTCATTGCCTAATTTATCACTTAAGAACTCATTGTCCGCGTTATCACATAACATGCATACGAGATCCAACATTAATCATCATAACAATCCCTAATCATGAAATAAACCAAATCATGTTCATCATCAGGTTCAAATTTCAAAAACCAGTTTAAACATCATAAAGGACAATATATCATCATGCCCGCAAATCCCAATACATAGTTCATCAATAGCGGAAGAATAAATAGATTATGTCATAAAGCAAATAATATCAGTCTCTCGTCTTCTATCTCCATGTCACCTACCCAACATGAAATGTTGGGGGTTGAGGGTGAGGGACATGGGGGTAAGCAAACTACGAGCTCACCACTATGCACATAAATCAATATAATAACAGATAGTAGGGTCGCAGCATGTACAAGAATCAACAACTAATATCCCATCTTCTCATGCTCTAGTGTACACCCCATATAGCCACTGAAGGGAGAAACTGCATCCAACAACAGGATCAAATGGCAATGGTCGAACCTGCATCCAAAGACATGGCCTATCATTAAGCTAAGAGAAATTGCCTCTCATTGGGCACCGTCGATGGTTGAAACCGC